AGTTATGTTTACTCTTTTGTAAAGATTTTAATTCTTGATAATTAATTAGTTACCTAAGAATGTTGCAAAGCTAATTTTATGCACATGGGTAAGTACAAACCAAATACTCTTGGCGAATTTGCTACCGGGGGTTTTTGGAAGGTATCCACAGTAGACAACTATTATAAGGGAAACAAATATGCGGAGCAATGTTTTGCTTTATGTATTTGACTAATTTAAGAAAATACATCAAGAAAGGCAATTCCAAATTACTGCATTTTATCATTGATATTTTGTTTCAGTATTTTAGTTTTCACATTAATTTTTCACCTTGATTAGAATTATATTAATAAATAGGGAAGGCAGGTGGGCGGGGAAGCCGTGAATCAAATTGTTTAAACATTTGAATTTGTTTAAACAATATGAGCACGTGTAATAAAGAGCAATAGAATCAATTGGTTTGAATATTAAATGTTCTTTTAATATTATCAATGCGATTTGAATTTTAGTTCACAAAAATCGGTTACAAAATGTCTTATGTAAGTATGTTGTGGAAATGTAAATGAAATATGCTTTTAGCAAAAGGATATCAGTATTATCTTGAATTTGAATTTGAGCGAATCTCAATTCCTTAGTCAGCTGCAATGCACACACACAAACGTACACACGCATATACATATGTACCCTGTAGTTCTCAAGGGGGCCGGTGGCACTTTCGGGGTAGAAAAGGGATCGACCACCCAGTGGTCCCTTAAGGGTCAATAGGTGGCGTGTGTATTTTTTACAAGAGCAAAAGAGTTATCGAAGAGTGAACACTTCTATGTGAACACTTCTATATGAGTTAAAAAAATTGTAAAATGAAATTTTTGACAAGTATATAATGATTTTAATAACGAATACAACTTTATTTTGTTTATATAAAAAACAAATTAAAAAAAGTTAAAATAATAAAATAAAAACTTAATAATGAGATAAAATAAAATAATAAATGATAGAATTTTATTTCTTTTTATATTATTTATATTTAATAATGAGCAATTTAGCTGCAGCAATATTTTTAACAATAGCGGTGGTTCAGAAGCAAAACGTTTTCTTTCCTTCCATAACAAGCGGATTTTATTGGTGCTTAGATATATAAAATAAATATATAAGTACCTAATTTTATATACATAGAACTAAACAAAAATAATATTAGCGAATGTTTTTATTGCCATCGATTATACGATATCGGTAGTCGCAATATTAATCGTAACGGATTGCCATAACTACCCAACCCCGCTACCATCACTAACCCAACGTTTGCGCCAAATTTTGTAAACATTGTATTTAATTTGTCTTATTGTACATTTAAAGTGTTATATTTTGTTGTGATCTGAAGTGTCGTCAACAGGTGAGTAACACCATGAGTTGTGCAAGTGAAATACCTAATAATGTGTGATATTTAGCCATGAACAGCAACAGGCACATTCGTCGATTTGTTAAAGAGGAGAAGGAGAAATAGTGGTGCAAAGGACTCCTACGTAAGTCTTTTTTCTTTGATATAAATATTTTAGTGAAATTTTCTTTCTTTTTAGATTAAAGCCATGAGATCGTTGTTGCTGCCAGAAGGGGGCTTAAAAAAACTTGGGGAGGGTTCTCACGGATGAGTTTGTTGTGGGATTTAATGTTGGCCTTTGGCCTTTCTGGAAAAAAAAGCCGTAAACTCCTTTACACATTTCTATGGTGCACTTCACGGTATGTTATTTTTATAACTGTATTTTTTATAATACACTTAGTTTCTTGATTCAATTTCAATCTATTTACTTAGAATGCCATCTGTCTTTAATCCTATTTCTTTCTGTCTTTTTCTGCTTTTCACTTTTAAAACATGGTTTGATGTAAAGAGGCTTGTATAACAAAATCTAAAAATATATATTTAAACCCATGCAGAGGGAATTATAATTTAGTCCAGAAGTTTGTTACGCAGTAAAGGAGACCTTTTCAAACCTATAAAGTAAATCCATTTAACCATGTCCGTCTGTCTGTCGGTTCAAGTTTCAAAAGCGTGAAATAAGTCTACATTTAACTGTTGGTTATTCTTATTTTATATTTATGCTTTTCTAGTCACAATTTTATTCCTGAAAGCTGCAAGGGTATTAAAACTTTGGCTTGCCGAAGTTAGTTTCTGTTCTCATTTTATTTTAAAACACTAAAATCTTATTTTTTTTTTTAGATATTGTTTCAGAATCTGGTAATGCAGAAATATTGATTCCCAAGGCAATTCAATTGCAAAAGAAACGATTTTTTAAAAATAAATCCAAATCAAATAATAACAACAATGAGGCACTCAACAAAAACGTGTCAGCAGAGGAATTTGTTCAATAAATATAAATTAAAAAAATAGAAAAATTGTCTACTTATAATACAATAAATTAATTTAACAAAAAGTATTTTTCTTGGGAAGTTTCATAGCATTCAGCTTTTTTGGTATTGAAAACACCAACCCCATTTCATATCCCTTTTCGCCACAAAAGGGACCGATAGGTGGTCCCATTTAATACCCCTTTTCGCCACAAAAGGGACCGATAGGTGGTCCGATAGATGGTCCGATAGGTGGCCCCTTTTGTGGCGAAAAGGGGTATAATATGGGACCACCTATCGGTCCCTTTTGTGGCGAAAGGTAATGCAGAACTTCGCCATATGACCACCGCCTAGGACATGCCGTGGTAAAAGTGGATAGAAATTTACATTGCGGGTGGTATGAACGGGAGTTAGTCCCAAGCCCCCGGTGTATGGCGATTTCGCTAGTTCGGGACCAGTCCCGGCGAACTACAGGGTATCTAATGGCTGTGTGTGTGTGTGTACATAGCAGAGCAAATCATTGTTTGTTTTTTACAAATCCAAAGTTTGTCGATAACTTAACATTTGAAAACTAATAAATAGTTTGCTGATCGGTCTTTTGCATTTAAAAAAAACAGAAGCAATTTTAAGGAAAATTTCGACTGTAAAATTCAGCTTAATGGGATTTCTGTAAGGTCTACCGATATTTTAAAATTTAACGTTTACTAAAGAAAAAGGCGCAAAAGAAAAAATTTGCGATATAATCGATTTTTTTTGGCTGTGGTATTTTTATTTTCCCCTTGCGCGGTCACACTTAAATTGCGACAGCAGGACATACATACAAACATATGGGGACGCGTGACGTCACATCAGGTTAGCCAAATTTGAAAATATTGGGGACTTGGTTAAGGATGCCGAATCTCCAAGAAATTTAAATGCAGTTATTTGCGGGTGTGCCATAAGATTATGAACATCACATTTTTAAACCATTTTAACAACATTTATAACAGAGAAATGGCAAAAGAAAGAATAAAAAAAAACAAAACGAATTTTGGGGCACTTTGGGGTCGTTTTTTGTCCTAAAAAGTACCCCTTACGCGGCTTCTAATTATTTTAGTAATTACTGTGATTTTTCTCGATTTTTAGGTCAATCCGTTCTGGGTGGAATTTGCTACTGACCGTTTTTTAATAAAGACAAATATTGATATAGATTACACAGGAACACAAAATTAAACTTTGTGAAATTTCCACGAACCATTTCAAGTTTTCCATGATATTTGGGTGCTCCTGAGTAAAAGTCCCATACAAAATTATTTTCCATCACCTACAGGTTCCGCGGTATAGCTAAGAATACAAAAAACCGATGTTGGTCGACATTTTGAATTACGTGGCCTATATAATTGGACTAACCTTTATTATTTTCGGTAGGACCTACTCTCAATACATCACGGCATTCCTAAAAAATAGTCCCCATTGTGAACCATTGCCCATGTCTTTGGAATTCGACGCCAAAGTTAAAAATCCCAAAATTGTAGAGATTTTTTTGATGTAAAAACAATTCTGAGGATTAAATCTTGAATGGAAGTAATTTTAACTATTCATTGTATCTATTGTCCATTGTATGCTTTAATTTCGGTTTAAAGCGTTTTCATGAGGACATTTTATTGGATTTATTATACTAATAAAACCGATTTTTTTATTTCATTATCTACTCCTAAATGTTGTCAAATTTTGAATAAGTCATGGCAACCTCTAGAACTAAGAAACTAAAGTACGTTCACTGAACATACATAGAAAAATGTAAATGTTTACTCCCATTCTGTAGGATGCCTTGACTTTTTTAAAATTTGACAACATTAAGGAGTAGATAATGAAATAAAAAAATCGGTTTTATTAGTATAAGAAATCCAATAAAATGTCCTCATGAAAACGCTTTAAACCGAAATTAAAGCATACAATGGACAATAGATACAATGAATAGTTAAAATTACTTCCATTCAAGATTTAATCCTCAGAATTTTTTTTACATCAGAAAAATCTCTACAATTTTGGGATTTTCAACTTTGGCGTCGAATTCCAAAGACATGGGCAATGGTTCACAATGCGGACTATTTTTTAGGAATGCCGTGATGTATTGAGATTAAATCCTACCGAAAATAATAAAGGTTAGTCCAATTATATAGGCCACGTAATTCAAAATGTGGGCAAACATCGGTTTTTTGTATTCTTAGCTATACCGCGGAACCTGTAGGTGATGGGACATAAGTTTGTATGGGACTTTTACTCAGGAGCACACAATTATCATGGAAAACTAGAAATGGTTCGTGGAAATTTTTGGCTGTGTACCTGTGTTATAATTGTACTATTAGACTAATTGGATAAGAAAAGTTACAACAAAGAACTTTTTAAAACACAGGGCGGCAACACTACTGCTATTTTGGCCGCAGCTGTGTTTTTATGTTCTTTGACTGTTTTCTTGAATTTGTTTCTCCCTTAAAAAAAATCCTAAAATTATTCTAAGTATGGGATTTGAAAGATAAGGAGTTCTTCTTTTTTTAAAAACTAACATCAAAACAAACCATGAATCTGTTGCCTGTGATACCTCCGTAAAGTTGGACAATTTCAGCATTTTTCGAACCTTGGGTCCTTGTGCTAAGATCCTTGCTTTCGTAACGAATTCAAAAATTTAGCATCCATCGAGGTACATTTTTGATGCTGCATAGTTTTATTATTAAATTTTTTATTAATAACATTAGTTATACCATAAAAGGAATGAGTATGTAAGAAAACTCCAATTACGTTCATTTATAGGAAAATTTGTGCCTCAATTTGACCTGCGAGATTGTCGTAAGTTTTTCTCAATTTCAAACTGTCTGAGATCGGTTCTCTGCAAAAACTCTTGACGCTCAAAATATCTAAAATGTGGAAACAAATTATTTGGATGTTAGTTGCGCTTGATCTCTAACTTACCCGTATTTGCCCTTGTTATGGGTTCTCAGCTGTTCGTCTATGCCTTCGTCGCTTTTGAAGTTTTTCCAATCCATTTGAGATTTTTCCAGCACTGAGGTTTTTTTTTTCTTTTCTACTTTATTGAAAAGAGAGCCGGTTTTATCTTCATTTACCGGTCGTTTTAATGTCCCGAGCCTTGAACCTGAAATTGGTATAGTCTGCATTACCTTGGGATCGGCAAAACCCAATGTTTTCTCAATTTAAATACGTTTTTTATTCTCCGGTTTGCTGTTGATATTGTCGGCATTTCCTCCCTGATGATCTGTTCTTTGTTTAAGTTTACTCTCGCCCTCAACATCGTTAAGAAAATCGGCCCACAGAGCATCCGATCGTGATTTTTCAGCTTCCTCGTCAGAATGCAGCTCGTCCCTGTCTGTATTGTTGTGGTCGCTTTCAGCGGATACAGACTGTCGCGTAATTCGCAAAACGCGAACGGAATCCTTTTTTGATTTGATGTCAATTTTTTTCTTCGCCCCTCCATTAAAATTATTGTTGCAACCGGTGTCTGAAGTCACGCCATCAACACAATAATCAGCGTCGCTTTCGCAATCCGATGAGTTATTCCCTTCTATATTCATGTCGACTATCTTTTTTTTTCTGTAAAAATGTTCCGAGCTCGTGATTAACCATAGTTTACCGATGTAATATATCTTCCCCACCTTTACAATTTTTTTTTCCACTTCACATATTATTGTATTAATACACAAATTCAACAGAAGACATTTCATTAAAACATTTAATATAAATGTTGATAAAGTATATGAAACCTTTCAAGAGCTCTCTTATTAATGCTAAATACCAAACAAATTACAAAAGAAATTATTTTCGCAAGCAGAGTTTTATCAATTGTTATATAATTATTGCTGACATTACAGTGAACCTTATTGATTTCATATCACTTTTGCAGCCCGCCGCTGTTGCGAAAGACTTGAAACCGTCCATTAAAATTTTTGTTGCAATTTTAAAGCGGAACTGTGTTTCCACAGAGAATCGCTCAAGCGCGCGGCTGATCGGCACAAGCAGCTCCGAAACCGAAAAAAGAGGACGTGCCAACTTAGTGGTCCTAAAAAAAGGGATTAGACCTTAAAACTAATTACAATTTGAGCGGTAGCATATGAAATTTTTTTAGCGGCAAATGAATTGTTCATTGCTATTAGCAAATTTGACGCTGTTGAATATCTATAGCACCTTACTCCCTTAAGCTTCTTGGGCTAGATCCTTTTTTAAAGCAACAATTTGGCCCATTGTAGGCTTACAAAAATTAAAAACAAGTGCAACTTGGTCATTCCGAAAAAAAGGAATAGAAATATCTCTTTTCACGATAAAATCATTTTCCGAGTTCTGTGCTGCTTATGCGGTTATTCCACAACATTGTTCGACTAATGCATTAGAGCATTCATTATAATGTGCGTCAAATTAGCGTCGGTGACTTAGCGGCGATTGTGGAACGGTGGAATTTGGAACATGGGGCCAATTTTAAATTTTTGATTGTTTCGGCTTCTATTGAACAATATTTAATGCAAAATTGTTCAGAATGAAAATATCTATCGATCTAAATAGGTTACAAGCCTATCCGACTTCTAGAAATATATTAAAAATCTATTCAAAAAATCGTGCCCCCCAATTTTCTTTATTGCTCCCCTCACAGAGGTTGTACCAATATGCACGGTAAACATGATTATTGGGCGTTAATTCAAGCTTCTTGTCAGAACAAATATCATTAAGCTAAAGCCGTCAGTTTTTGAGAAAATCGCCTAACAGTGAATGCACCGCGGATTTTCCCCAGACAAAATAGGGGGGCAAATATTAAACTGAACAGGGCTCCACTCTCAGACGTTGTACCAACATGCACGGTGTATTGGCAGATTGTGGATCGCCCAAAGCAAGTTCAGTGAAAAAACCATAAAGATAAAGCAGCTTTTGAGAAAATCGCTTTACAGTGGGGGAAGAAAAAATGTTAAAAGAAGTGCCGCCAAATTCAAATTTGAACCAGTAAGTTCCAAATTAATTTAAAAAACAAGAAAGGAAGCTACCTTCGGCCAGCCGAAGCTTATATATCCTTGCGGATAAAAATTGCTCACTCGGTGCAGTTCCAGGGATTCCAGATTCAGCGTTTCGATTTATTTCAATTTTGTTTTTAAGTAGTCAAGAATCAAAACGCCTACTTCCTACAAAGATACAATGAATTTTCTTATATTTGATTGGGAGCCTTAAGATATAGTGGTCCGATCCGGCTGGCTCCGACATATGTACTACCTACAATAGAAAGAAGACCTTCGGGAAAGTTTCATCGCGATAGCTTTAAAACTGAGAGACTAGTTCGCATAGAAACGGACAGACGGACAGACGGACATGGCTAGATAGACTCGGCTATTGGTGCTGATCAAGAATATATATACTTTATGTGGTCGGAAACGTCTCCTTCACTGCGTTGCAAACATCTGACTGAAATTATAATACCCTTTACAAGGGTATAATTAACTAATGCAGTACGGTTAACAAAAAGCCGTCAGTTTTTGAGAAAAACGCATCACCATCTCATTTGATCCAAAATTTGAACCAGAACGACCCTGTTCTACGCTCCCAATTGAAACCAGAACGACCCTGTTCTACGCTCCTAAGACTCTTACCATATGGGAAAATATTTATGTTTCGAGGCTAACTCTATTTTCAATGATTTAGACTTTCGCAGACGTTGAACCAACATGCACGGTACATCATTGGAAAGGAAATTAATTTAAAAAATGAACTATTGCAGTACGGTTAACAAAAAGCCGTCAGTTTTTGAGAAAAACGCATAGCGCGTTGTCGGCATCCCATTTGTTCCAGATTTGTAACTAAGAACACATTATATCGATATTTTATATCGATACTTCGATAAAAGCAAGCTGAAAGTGTGGCATCACTCCCGATTCGCGGGAACTTTACATCAACTTTCATTCAACGGAACCAAGCACCAAACTTAAACATGAACTCGCGTGTGGCCCTAATTAAATGCGTAAGTATTAAAAACCTACTAATCCCTATTAATTACACAGGTACACAGCCAAAAATTTCCACGAACCATGTCTAGATTTCCATGATAATTGGGTGCTCCTGAGTAAAAGTCCCATACAAACTTATGTCCCATTACCCACAGTAGAGGCGCAGAAACATCGATGGAAATATCGATGCATCGATGTTTTTCCAAATTTTCAAAACATCGATGTTTTTTTGGACCATCGATGTTAATAAATTATTATAATTATTCTTATTCCAGCAATGTTAAAAAAAAATGAAGCCTTACAAGGAGCTTGCAAAAAATTTTTTGTGTATTCCTGCCACGTCCTGCGAGTCCGAACGAGCTGTTAGCAAGGCCGGTCAAATAATTTCCGATCGCCGTAGCCGTTTAAAGAGTACCATCGTAGACCAACTTATGTTTTTAAGTTTGTTTTTTATTTATAATATAATTTTTAATTTTCTAAATGAGTAAAGGTTTTGTTTTTCAACTTAAAAAACGATCTGCTTAAAATGGAAATAGAGCAGAAAAAAGCTAGGAAGAAATTGAACTTTGATGATTAACATGTTTTCTTTATTTTTACTAAAGTTTATAAATTGTGATGATTAAATCCGAAAAGTCTGAATTCATAGTCTGAAATAAGTTATAATTTCATTATTATTGATAATAAACCAAAACAAAAACAAGAGAGAACGCTATAGTCAGATACCCGTTACTCAGCTAAAGGGAGTGCGAAGGAGATGGAGATAAAAATTTGATCCGCCGTAACTTTTTAACGAATGGTCCGATTTAAAAAATTTCTTCTACATTTCGATAGGTATTCATAAACACAATAAAACTGCATTTTTACTTTTCCGAAATATTGAAATTTTTAAAATCGTATATAAGCTATTGTGGGCGTTAGAGGGGGCGTAGCACCCTTTTGAAACTTGCGCTGCGCAGGAACTCCTAGAATCTGCATGCAAAATGTCAATCTTCTCGCTTTTATAGTTTCCGAGATCTCAGCGTTTATACGGACGGACAGACAGACGGACAGACGGACATGGCTATATCGACTCGGCTAGTGACTCTGATCAAGAATATATATACCTTATAGGGTCGGAAATTCCTTCTAGCTGTTACATACATTTGCATGAATACAATATACCCTCTTACTCTACGAGTAACGGGTATACATATTACGTTGCGAAGTATTCACTAATCAAAATTTGCCTATGTCTTCTTGTCGCATCGTTCCCATTTTCCTAAACCGTTTCTTCTGTATTGGGAGTTCTTTCCCGGTTATTTTCTTCCTCATCAGATATGGGATTAATTGGATAAATGGCAATATTGTGCAAAATTCCACATGCGACTACAACAGCCATTGCCGTGTTTAAAAAAATCCGCATGCCCGTGGATAACACTGGAAACCGTCTTTTTAAACCTCCAAAGCAACGTTCGATTGTATTGCGAGTTTGAATTTGTTACTCAGCTTCATATATTCAGTTGTTTTGTACCCTTCATCTGCTAAAATATAATAGTTTTTAAATTCGCCGTTGTCGAGACGATACTTAAGGCGACTGTTGTTAAATATGGTGCTGTCGTGGAAAGAGGCAGGCCACCTGGCAACCAAATTTATTAGGAGAAGCTTGGCATTGCATACAACCTGAACATTCAATGAAAAGTATCCTTTTCTGTTTCGAAACAGTTCTGCGTCATCTCCACCTGGGGATTGTATTCGCACATGCGTGCAATCTATGGCTCCAAGAACATTGGGAAACTTAGCAATATTATAAAAGTCCATCGTTGTGTCTTCCTTGCTCATTAATTCCATGTTTATAAATTCCTTGCTGAGCATTGCAATTGCTTCAGATACTTCTTTTACTGCTCGGGACCACAGAAGTCCCCTGCCGTAATAAGGAAGCTGCCGCTTGCATAGAATCGTAGGGCCAACAAGAATTTGGACTCTGACTTTATCGCATATGATCTAGGTAATAGTTTGATTATATCAAATGGCTATTTTTACATGATGTAAGAATATTACCGGTCAGTATTAGTGGATATTGCGCTATTAACTTTAGCTAATAAATGTTTGCATGTAGCTTTAGTCAATCGGAAACGTTGTACAAAGCTGTCCTCGTCCAAGTCAGCAAAAAAATCCTTTCTTTCCCTAAACACTCTGTCATTATTAACGTTGACATCACCGCCTTCACCTCCAAACTCAAGATCCCTATCCAAATTAAGCAAAACTCTATTGTTGTTCATTTTGGCTTATATTTTCAACAAACGTAAAAACAGCTGTGCCATTTTGTCTTCCTCTTTTTCCTTGGCTTTTGAAATCAGCTGTCTCTTTATCGAGTCAAAAAAGACTTGAAGTACCTGTCAAAGATAGCTCTCACATTTTGGCTCGAGAAAGCCAAAATCGCTTAGCAGGGACTTTATCTGTTTAAATATTAGGCCCTTAAAGGGATTGTGTAAAAATTTATTCATAAATGCTATATATCCTAAGCCGATTTATGTTTCAGGTACGCGTCCTCAACATTATTTTAGGTAAAGACTTTGAAAGGTACAAGTTATTAAATTGGATTATTAGGGTCTTTTCACAGAGCTCCATCCACCTTCCACCATCCGTTGAACGGATGG